TTAATGCGATACTAAAACTCAAATCACTACCTAAATTTTCAAGAAATGTCAATGCTTACTTTGAAGCAAAAATAATGTCCGTCAAGTTAAAGTTGTGAGTTCTTGTAAACTCTAAGGGCCATGTTATATAGAGTGTCTCGGGCATGGCAAAATTGGCTCTTTTGGGCTTTGCCGAAAATGCATGTTATGCAGCCTGTCACATCAGTATTGCCAATTTTGTATTTTTACTACTTCTTGGTAGTTCTTGATTATGCCTAAATTTAAAAGGACATTTAAATATGCTCACTTTCAATTTACAACCAAAAATAATTAGCAAGAAAACCCTCATAGAGGATGAAATTAATTAATTAATTATTAATTAACTGTTTATTATTATTTTATTATCTTATAACAATTGTTGACGGTACTTTCGCCTTTCTTTGAAATCGGAAGGTGTAATATTTATATTATTAGCGATTTATAAAAAATGGCTGTGTTGCTTACTGCCAATTTTTCTCCAAAACGTATTAGAATTGTTGTAATTTGCTCCTAAAAGGCGCAAATTTTGAAATTTATTACTAAACAACTCTGTTTTGCCTTAGCGCCGGGGCCGAAATACGCCCGCTCTCATCCCGGACTTTGAACGGCCATATTGTTTTTACTCTTATTGTCAAATTTAAAATTTGCATTGAAAACAACAACAATTGTACTCATGCTGTGCCCGAGATACTCTGCATAACATGGCCCTAACTTTTATAAACTCTATAATAAAGTTATGTCGCCCATACATTTAGTGTCTCGCGCACTCCGAGCATAGCGTATAGTCTATTAAGTTTTTTCTAAGAAACGAATACTAAGAGCTTGCAAACTAAAACGCAATTAATAGATGTTATAGGAGATTTCACTGCATGTATTTATGATTTATAACATTCTTAGTGCTGCGAATGATCAGGAAAATATTGTTCCACTGCACCTAACACTTTGAGCACAGTACACTAATCTCGATCGGTTACGATCTTGGATTCATTTGCATGAAGTCCGCACTATTAAGCAGAGGCACGAGCATACCTGAAACTGCTTTTAATCTACGGTTAAACCGTCTGTGTTATGTAAAAAGTTCTTTTATTATGTGTATTCCCCACTTCTTTTCACCAACTGAAAAGCGAAATATCGTATTCTATCTTTCTTAAGATTAAAACTCATCTAGGTACACTACAAAAAAAAAAATGTATCCAAATAAACTATCTGGTCGGGGACAATTACAATATATATCACAGATTCGTGTTGGTTGCTTATTCTTTCACTAAACTAAATCTATTATCTTTATTCTGTTTTTTTCAGCATTATATTAACAATATTTTTTACTCCCATTTTTTAGATTTAGATGACTTTGATAATAAAGTTTCATCCTTGCCATAATTATCTATGTATTCAATGGATTTATGGATACAACTAGATAGCTGGTACTACTGTTTACGAAGACGTTTGAACATCCATCTGCATAGTAAACAAAGAGAATTGTTAAGGTAGCTTGTTAAACTATATTGAACAAGAGGCCTCTTGGATACTTGAGGAAGATGGTGCATATGCAATATGTTACACCAGACGATCGATGCCCGCAACAATAAATTAGATAATCTTAGGATTTCTGAACTGTTGTGGAAGTAAAGTAACCTCAGTGAGACAACGCACTTAAACAGGATTAACTAAGCATCCACAGATAACTTCTGTTCGGAAGCCGTCGCATTAAATCCTAAGCCTGTTGTGTTTTCTCATCCGACGTATTGATGAAATGTTCCCTTCGCGCCCATGGTTCTTCCCAACTTTGTTCACTTAAGTATTTGTTTTTATTTACGTTTGTTTTATTCTTTATTTTATTATTATTATTATATATTTACTTTTTTGTTGTATTTTATTTTCAGGCAAGTTTTGTGGTTGGTTTGTTTTATGACGCCATAAACGTTTGTTTTATGAGAGTCTTTTGTTGTTCTTTTATGCGAGAAGCTGAATTTCTTTCGAATTTCGAGAACATATGTGCTTAAAATGTTAAATTGCATTTGTGCTCTATAAAATTTAATGTACTTCAACTTCAACTTCAACTTCAACTTCAAATTCAACTTCAAGAACGTTGTTGTGAATAAAAGTGTAGCTACTTATAAAGTGTATGAATGAATGTATCGTATGTATTGTATGTATTGTATTGTATGTACGATTATATGTACCTATGTACCTATGGTGTTTGGTTCGGAAAAATATTTAAAAAATTTAAATATGTTATCAAACTTATAAGACTTTGAGATCCGACGCTTCAGCTCTCTTTGATAACTTTTATTATACTTTCAAATACTTTTGTTGCCGAAATGAAACCTAAAATGGGAAGCGGAACACGGCTAAAGGGAAGTGAGAAGCGGGAAGCGAGGAGCGGGAAGCGGGAAGCGGGAAACAGGAAAATATTTCTATAATTTCTAACAATTTTATGTCGAAATGCTTCTTCATACTACAAATGAAAAATGCCGAATAAAAGACGAAAGCCTCTAATATCCTGTTTACCTTTAAATTGTTTTACTTATTCAAAAGCATTCCAGCATTCAACTTAAACTTTGGTATTTATGGCTACACACTTTTCCATTTCAACACAAACACCACACATACACACACACACCCACACACACACACACCAAACACAAACATAGACATGTAAACTCCTTTAGATATTACTGCACTAACAAAGACACATAGGTACGGAGGTAAGGATGGTCTCAAATGAAAGCGCTACACCCACAAAAATACATAAATACCTTTGCAGGAAATAAGGAATAAAATATTTTCACTTCAAAAACAAAGCAATATATATGAAAAAAAATAAAAAAATAAAAAACAGAATGAAATAAAATACAAGAGTATAAGGAAGAAAAAAAAAAAAATATAATATACGAGCATAAGGTAGAGAGAAAGAAGATGGAGCCTGTGTAGCGATGAATACTAAGAAAATTGTAGGTAGCCGGTGAAGTGAAAGCCTTCAACTTGCCCCATGGTAATAACGGCAAATGACTGCTTTGGGAATTGTTACCACGCGTTTCCCTACTTTTCCCACCCATCACAAAAACAAAACACCAAACGCAACGCAACGCAAACGTTAACGTAAACGCAAACGTAAACGTAAACGTTAACGTAAACGTTAACGTAAAGAAATGAAATGATACACAAAAACAAGTCAAATCAAAATAAAATAAAAAAGCAGAAAAAGTAGAAAAAAATTGAGCGAGGATAATCACAAAAAATAAAAATCGCATTTGTAGCCAGAAGCTGCTTTTTTCATTTAAATAAAATATAAAGTATATGCAGGCACCTTCATCCAGACGTACTCACTCGTTTAGTTGCACACCCGAATACGTACACTCGTATAACAGATCGAAATATAAGGCATAGAGCGAGCGGACCGAACAAAGTAATGGGCTACGGACTACACGTACAGCACAAAATAGGTTTTGTGCCTATTTGGTAGCTCGAACGCGAATTTTTTCCTGAATAATTTTAATTTTAAAGTGTGGAAAAGTTTTTCATATTAAAGCGCGAAATATTTAAAATTTTTTCCAACAAATACGTGGATGGACTTTACGGGTTACTTGATCGGTTTTAGATCGATTTCAGCTTTATCACTGGCTCAATGAAAGACGCTTTAAGAACGTCAAATAAATATATTTTCAAGAATTCTCAGATTTAAAAACAAGTAAAAAATAATCAATAATAATATATATTCTGCATATATTTTTATTCTCGACATCATTTTATTGAATGTGTTAATGATCAAAAAATAATTTCGATTAATTATCCACGACAGAACAACTTAGAAACTGCAATTTTTCACACAATGTTTGAATATTTTAGGCTAAATCTCATATATGTCATAACTAATGATGTTGGTTTGTCCACATTGACCAATGATTTCAAATACTTCTTTCTCTACAGCTCAGACTATTAAGGAGAACACGGTATAGCTACATTTCAAAGGCAATAAAGTACTCGAACACATTTACTATCCGCAGAGTTTTTACCTATAATTGGAAAAATTGATCTTTTTATGGCTGTGTTCTCTGAGTGCCATTAACAGAGTGACATTCCGAATTTCTTTATTTTTATTTCACTATAGGTAAAAAATAAGCCGTATGCCTTCACAGTTTCTTCAAAATGAAAAATACTTTAAATCCGCCAAAGAATATATTGGAAAGATTGTGGTTTCGGTGAGTATATAACCTACATTTACTATCGAAATTGTTTTTTCTTTTTTTTTTTAAATGAATTAATATTTCACAAATACTGGTCAGAAGACTTATCATATGTCCAGCGCAGAATCCATAAAAAGCTAAACGAAAAGAACCTAATTTATGCAATGTGTGACAGTTATCATACAGTGATAACAATTGTTATGACATCTGGTTCAAGACAATAATACATATATCGAAACGAAAATGAATTAAAGAGGAACGTGTTCGAGAATTGGTTATGCAGAGACGTATGTATGTGTTTTATCAAAACAATGATCTGTTGCTCAACGCATATTCTATGAAGTTATTTAGAAGAAAATATGGAGAACCATGAGTACCGAACATCAAAACGAGCCGTGTTGATTGTTGCCTTCAGGAGAAGAAAGGACCAATACTCCAGTATCAAAGTACAAATGGAACCATGTTGGTAACAACAAACAGAACTATTAAATAAATATTGAAGATAATGTATACATTAGTGTTATATTCGCCTATATATTTATCAATATCTGTAGTCTTTTTGAGTTTTGTTTCTTCTTTTATGAATTTCAATTAATGGATCTTCCCATTATTCACACTGAATTTAGTGGATTTTAAGTAATTTAGTTTTATGAACTTTCTTGAAATTGCTACATTATTTCCCTGAAGTACTTCACATTTAACTTACCGTAAATTATTTATATTAACTTCTCCTCATTATTGCTTATATAGAGCTTCATTATTTTATATGTTTTTAAATTCAAAAAAAATTATTATTTTTTTTTTTGTTACTGTACAATTTATTGTTGCCTTACATGGTCTAGTTACAATTAATAAGTTCAACTTCACATACTTGCAATGCAGCTGCAGGAGTCAGGATAGAGGATACAGCAAACTTTCGTCACTACAGCATTTCTCTATATCTTTGCAAACCCATGAGACCAACCATTGGGTCAGTTAACCGTTAAAATGTTTTTGTAAATACTGGTCGTAGATTCAAAAAGAAATGTAGCTGTAGTTAGTTATTGCTTCCAGCAGTTGCTCTAACATATATATATCCTTTCGATAATAGGTAGGAAATATCTTGGACTTTGCTCATATCTTCATCGTGGTAGAAAAAAATTCCGTCTTATAGGATCTGTTTAACTGAAAAGTTCTTTAATTACTATAATAGACAGATTTCACATAGGCGCTTAGTGCAATGGACTTTGATATAATTACTTACACAATATTAAATAATGCCTTCTTATATCCTTCAAGTAAATCATTCAGTTCAGCAATATGTATTTATTCTCCAGATTTTCCAAGCAAGCAAATATTTTAGATAATCTTCTTATTTGTAAATATGTATATATATTTTTATCTCAGATACCTCCCACTAGTAGCGATAAATATGTAATCAAAAAACTTTATTATATCTGCGTTATCTCTGACGGCGGTCTTGTTTGGAGTCAGCAGTGTGGTTTTTGGGGCCAGTTAATCTAAATTTCTTAAAGTAAATACGATTGCTTCGGACTTGATGTAATATAAATAAGTGCAATAAACTATAGAACCTTAGTAAATCCCATATACAGTTTGATCATCGTTGTAATAGGCCTGTTTAGGGGTTTGATTTGTTTCTTTTCATAGGTGTACCGATTACATCTGCATAATTCACGTTAAAATTTAGATCATAACTTATATGTAATGAAAGCAAAAAGGCTGCAGTGAAGGCTGTATGCAATGCCTGCTAAGCTCCTGATTTCATATTTTCTAGTACTAAAACGTATACTGTGACAATGGAACGCTATTACATTTTTTTGGGCTTTTGTGATTCTAGATATTTTATTTTCTCAATATAAAACAAATGCCGTTTCTCTGTTGCTACATGGACATGGCTCTCAGACTTATGTTAAGCTTCTATAGAAGGTTTTTTCAATTAAAATTAGAGCATTGGACATATTCTTACTTACCTTTTACATTTTACCTGTTTTTGTTGCAATCCAGAACTGATTAAATTCCTTATTCCTTGTTGTTTGGTTCTTGCGCGTCCTATTTACAGTGGTCAATAATAAATTTTTCCTCATTTTTGTAGTACTCTTCCTTCCAATTAACACGCAATTCAAAAAATCGGACAATAAGTGATGTATTTGATTCAAGCATATTTACTTTTTCTTATTAGAAGAGCTCAAAAAGTCATATTAGTCCTCATTATATTACTCAAATTGTCCAATATGCTGGGATTTTTTTATGGGTCATTAGGACATCATTGTTGCTCAATCCATTAAAAATTTTTAAGAAGGTATTAATTCCTCTCAATAATAAGTTTTTTGCTAAAAACTTTTAAACTTTTCACAATGTTGTTTTCTCTTGTACACACCTGTGTATTATTATGAAGTCCACATCAATTTATTATTGTACTCCTAAGGACATTTGGACTCATTCATAATCACATAAACATAGTACATACCTTTTCACATACAGATGAAGAAGTAAGTAGTAAGGATTGAACACTCCCAGCTACACTGTGGTGTTGGAACCATTCAAATGATATTAATTAGCACTTAAATATGAAAATATATTTATATTATATGTAAATATAGCTTTTTGATCGTTTTCATTAGACTTACATATTTGTAGGTCCCATAACCTGTCTACTTACTAAACTGGCAACAATATTTGCTATTTCATTTTGAGTTAAATAATTTTTGGTCTCGTAAACATTAATCCTATCAAAGCGGTGATCGTTTAGAAAAAGGGCAAGATCTAATTCCCTACAGCTAGCGCTCGACAGTCGTTGGACTATGGACGGCGTGAGATAATAGAAGCAAACCTCCCTCAACTGAGGTTCTGCTGCCGAAGACGCTATAGCTACGATCGAGGAATAAAGCATACCAATTGGGAAGCTCAAGATCGCCGCTCCCAAATTGGAGCTGAAAAGAATTTCGTCGCGCTCAGCATCGGTGTAGCCATGTAAGAGTTCAATTGTGTTAGCCATTCTGCCTGTGTTTTCTATTGCACTTACTTTTTCTTGTACTTCTGAATTTGCCAAATATAAACCGTATAAGCCAAACCAAATTTTTAGAATTTAGACATTTGAAAGAGTTGAAAAATAATTATTTTAATGAAAATATTGCATTGCCAAATTTCTGCCAAAACGAATTTTTGAAACTAGAAAATTTTGTTATTTTGTTGAACGAAAATAATTTTTAAATGAAAATCAAACGACGTTTATATATTATGACAAAAAAAAATTTCAATCTAGTGAGCAGCGAACAATGAAAATTTAATTTTCAAACTTTAATTTCAGGTTCCATTGTCAATATCTTATTATTTTTAATTAATTTACTTAAAAAGTAACCTGAAGTTCCATATTCACCTGCAACACCACACAACCTATACTTTTCACATTTGATTCAATAGTCTTTGGTTCTGCTAATTTTGTTTGTCTGATCTCGAAGAAAGTGCATTCGGCATTAATCACAACATTATTTAATGTCATCATCCTAGATCAGAACCATCGAGGGTTTCTATAAATGCTGATATTTTATTGCTAAAAACAACATAAGTAGATCAACCGGCTTATTAATTACCTAAATGAAAAAATATTATATGTACATATATATTATTTAAAAGTCCCCCGTCCATTTCATATCCAGTTGTGCAAAAGTAATTGAACTATTTGTTTGATTTACCTACTTATATGCTTCAATATAGAATAGTCCAACGACCATTGTTCGACCGTGAAAAAAACACTAGCGACAATATTAAAAGTTTTACATGAGATGTCGAAAAGTGTACACTATAATTTTAGAGTTTATTTGGACTTTATCTAGGATACTGTTTGTGTAGTAATACAAAACAGCAGACTATGTTTAATACTTTGCAGTTTATTTTCGTTGTCTGGTAAAAAGTGATTTTTACAACCGGTTGGGAAAGACAATGAAAACAAACACACAAAATTTTACCATCCCCGATTGCAATATACGAATCTAAGTTGTGGGCTTAATGTGCTGAACCAATTAACCAACTCAACCTATTGAAAAATAATGTATTAAGACAAATTTGAAGCTCAGTATTAGGGATCGAAAAATATTAGTGCAATCGATAGCACAAAAATATCGGAAACGTATATTAGGTCTGTTAGGTCAAGTAATAAAGTCAAGTGATGTGATTCCGCGAAAAAATATTATAAATGAGTATGATTGGACAAAAAAAGGTATGGCTGCGGAAAAGGAGGATTGTTGACATAAGAACTGACTTGAAAATTACAGTTGTGGAAAAATATTGGCTACTCAGTCTGTTGTCCCTCAAATTGTGTCCGGTAAAATTGGAATGCGCATCAGAAATTTTCCAAATGTCCACATAAAATTGTTTATTATCTTCTGTCATCTATAGCTGGTCTTTTAAACTTAGCTTTTAACATATATATTATTAAGTGATAGTAAAGTTTTTTTATCTAGCGCTTATTGCACAAAATTTGAAGATATTTTTATGTTTACTGCTATAAGTTTACTTGCTTAATATATTTACTTTAGTATACCTTAAGTCCCACGTCAATGGCGCTTTACGCAGACGACACATGCTTGATCTACTCGGATCGGGATGCCATAAATGTAAGCAACACGTTACAGGGAAATATAGACCTTATGGTGGAATACTTCCAAAAATGGAAGATTAAAATTAATAATGACAAAACCAAGGCTATATTTATAACTCGAAAAAGAAGACAGCATCCTCCAAGAGTGAGCGTTTGCGACACGGAGATACGGTGGGAGGATAACATAAAATATCTGGGGGTCACTTTTGACAAACGGTTCAATTGGCTTAAAAATTTGAAATACAAACGGAATAGCTGCTCTAAGATTCTACATTTATTAAAGCCGCTATTTAATAATTATCACTTCAACTTTAAAAACAGAAAGTTACTTTATACGCAAGTAATTAGACCTGCACTTCTGTACGGATGTGTTACATATAGCAAAGCCTCAAATACCACCTTAAAGCAATTACAGATAGCTCAAAACCTGGCCTTAAGAAAACTGTTTAAGATTCCATGGTACATTAGATCTACGGACATACATAGAGATCTTAGGATTGACTCAGTAAAAAAATATATCAGAGACAGAGCTTTAAAATTATTCACTAAAGTTGATACGCTACTTAACCCCGCCATAACAATCCTCAAGTCCACTTCTGGACTCTCAGGAAGATATGCTGATTTAAGGTCTGTCATCAACTAAAAGACAAATAAATTATATGATTTTTTAGCCTAGTTAAAGCCTAGTGTGGGGTAGTGATAAACCCCCCAGCCATTATAGAGTAAAAGTGCGTAATAGCACTAACTCAAGAAGAAGAAGAAGAAGAGAGAAATATTAGCATTGAAGTTAATGTCAAATCATATAACAATCAAAAAAAAATTCCATTTTCAAAAATTATGATCTTTCATTCACTCATTCTTTAATGGTCTAAATTCTAAAAGCTTCGCTCAGTTTAGGTTTTTATAATTTCGATTCCAAAATTAATATCCAGCAAAGCAAAACCTGAAAAAAAAAGAAAAAGGCATCACAATGCCCAATTATAGAGTAGAATTGAGCGACTACACTGCAGCCGGACGTAGAGATATTGTTAACTATTCAAACCTTGGACACGCTGTTGCTAATATTCCAATCACTATTCCTTATTCAACAATGGTAGCTGTGGTTTCATCGGCCCCGGAACCAGATTTGAAGGAAATGTGTTTCTACCAAATTAATTTGGATGAATCTATACGTTTAGCTGGTGTTTCTTGTCGAGATTTGGATATACGCATTTTCTTGAGCGATCGTCGTTTCCAAGACATTCTCGTCTATGAGACTGAAAAATATTTGAGCCCGGCGCAAATTGCCAACATTGTACCCACCCTTGCCACCACAGAAGAGATGAATGCGGCACTTAAGTAAGTTTGTTGTCAATCGAAATTAATTTTGAAATTATATTTCAGATTCACTAGAGTTCAGTATATAGTATTAAGTTTTAATATATAGAATTTAAATAATAATTTTCTTTATTATGAAAACTCTGGAATTGTATTCTATAATTATTATTGTCATTTTCAGTTGGAAGCAGACGGCTTAAAAGGACTTATTTCATAGAATCCAGTTAGCTGGTGAACTTAGCAACTGTTGCTTTATAAGGTACTTTCTTGTATATATAATACATTTAACATGCATTTAAGTAATTCAGAAGCTTATTAAGTATCTTCATTATCCCAGAGGATTTCTTATTATTACAATGTAAAAGATGACATTTCACTGAATTCTATTATAAAAGTTTTATTAAGCTGTAATTACATTGTACTGTATAGTCGTTCACATTGCCATGTGAACTCACTTCATTAATTAGTGAGAATTGTAAGTGAGATATGACTTAGACACATTACAGTGCTTACTCACTATAATCGTAAGAAACTGATTTCAATATTTCTAATTTGAATGAACGAATAATTTATTAGTAATTAATTGACTGTACTGTCAACATTTTTGCTCTTAGCAATGCAATTCTCTTCTCTTAAACAACAGTAGACAGATATTTAATACTGACATAATATAATTACAATAATTGATCAGATTCACTTTCTCAGAGCTGTAAGCAAAGAATTGTACCGTAAACTGCCTAAAAGAAATACTTATACTTTATGTCACCATTTACGATCTATATAAATTCTTATTTTGATTTTGATTGAATTCAGATCAGTTCAGTATGTTTTGACAAATATTTTGATATTTTGATTTCTTTGATTTCTATTTTGTAGCTAATAGGGGACATACGCATGCTGTGTTTCTGTAAAAAGTGTTAACCGTAAGCCAAACTAAAATTTTCGGGAGGAGAAGATACACACATGAATATTTTTTTCTAACTAGAAGCCATTATGACTCAAGCAAGTGAACCTGCTTTCAAAATGTTCAGTAATTTGACAAATTTAATTAATGATTTTATTGTATTCAGACCGAAACTCTGTGCGTTGCAACCAGTTCCACCAGGCCTTGGATATATGTATAAAAAACTCAAATCTATTTGTGAAAAATATTTAATAAAACAGAACTGTCATCACGACTTTTATTTTACTGGTAACTATTTAAACAACTAATTGCTTATTTAATTATTAATTAATTTAATTTATTAATTTAATTAAAATATTTATACACTCGTATTTATTTCGCAGAGCTGTGGGATTAGTGTCGGTAAACTGATCAAATGCATTTTTTTCTTATTGTCGAAAAACTTATTAGGGTTTCAGATAGTTTAGTTAACCTTTTTGCCATAAAAGTTTCCAACATCTTCGACTACTGCTATTAATTGAACTAATATAAATAGGAAATACTGAAGATTTGATCAAAGTTTTGTGTCATGAATGTCCAATTCAATTATTTCAGCATAAATGATGGACCGTTGTTCCTCATAAATCCGCTCAAGCTTCCATCATTTCAATTAGATATGCGTTCCACAACAACAACAACCAATCAATTACCAATCAATTGTTTCATTGCTCCGAATTAGATAAAATTTCTCAGTTCCTTACACTGTGTGAAGTATGGCTGACGATATCGTACCGAGGTTTTGCTATAAAATTTAGTTATGGGTTCCACATTTCGATGCTACACGAAGTGAAGTGTGACAAGTTCAACGTGAAGACCGGGGGTCTGGTCTATACCAACCCTGCATAAGTTTCTGTAATTTCCAAATGAAATCATAAAATAAGTGAATTAATAATTATTGCTATTGTTTGGGTAATAATTATTGCAACAGTGAGAATATCATGATTTGAAAAATATTCATAATTAAGTTTTTGAGAAATACATTTTCGATGTTAAAAAATGTTACTTGGAAAACTATGTACAAACCTCTACGGGTGTTAGCTTATGAATTTGTCCGTTTGTTTGCCTTTTGGTATGTTGGACTATTGGTTTGTTGGTCTGTTGGTCTCTTGGGTAATAGGCTTGTTTGTGCATGTATGCTTGTCTAAACATGTAGATTCCTATCCGCAGGACAATGTTTTTATTTAAACTGTACCAATTGAAGCGATACATTAATTAATCGCATGTGCCAAAGCTTGTGCCAAAGCTTGTGCCAGATTGACCCAATTCGTGTGAAAATGCATACACCACACCCGATTAATGTGTGTGCATTGTGTAATTTAATATTTCAGTGGGGCTGCAGTGTGCAATGTGCAATGCGCAATATGTAGTGTGCAGTAGGCAGTGGGTAGTGCTGTTGTTATGCTAGCTTTAGCATCGACAGAACAACAGCACTGTTAGCCGTGCGCTTTGACAAAATGTAATTGGGCGCTTACATGCTTATGTTATGTTTGCGGTTCAAATAATAATGTTAAATCGATAAAAATGTTTAAAACTCGAAATACTCGAACGAGTATTTTTCGTTCTTTGGCGGGTTATTTAATTTATTTACAGTGTTGTGTAATGTAGGCGGAAAGTGTAATTTGATATGAGCACAAAATGTGTGCACGAGTGTGAGTTTCTGTTTAACTTGTTTTGCAATGTAATTTGGTAACATTTTTTCGTTTTGTATTTAAACAAACATTCCCAAAAATAGTTGAATATTAAGTAGCATTTAAAAAACACAAAAAGATGTTTGCGATATAAACTAATAGTTGTTCTCTTTAAATTTTTTCAATTTTGGTTTATGTACAAATCCACATCAAGTACTTTTATACGAATGTTCAAATGTTATTTGAACATTATATTGATCTTGAACAAGACGATCCTTCAGTGTGACTTCAAATCTGCCAAAACTGCCATTAACCAGATATTCCTAGTTCTTGAGAAGAACCATAAGAATTTACACTTTTCACACTATCACTGCACTGTTTTTGGGGCTGTATCAGATATTGATAGTCTAGAAAAATTTATATAGATATGTAAAACAACGTTAAACAACATCATGTATTCATTGTATCCGTTGGAGTAGGGGAGAAACTCTCCGAGTTTATCGGCGTCAAACAAGGTTTCAAAGAGGGTGATATCTTCGGCGTGGCCTCTTCAGTATAATATTTCGAACAGCGGAATTGAATCACACTGTTACAGTTTTTTATAAAAGCGAATAAGTTAAGAAATTCAACCAAGAATCACTCGTAATTATAGAGGTTATTTCAATTTAAGTAAGCAATTAAGAAATAAAGTCCGAAGAACTTTAGTAAAGTCAATAAAATTACCTTTATAATACAATATGAAAGCAACATATATATCGTTAATTTTAAGTAAAATCATTAATCATTGTGTTGAAGTTCAAATGCATTTTTAATACCTTGAATGCAGCATTCAACAGCTGCTAATGAATGCCTGCGGAGCTTGTGAAATCATAACACTCACCTTAATTTACGCTTACATCTATCTAAAAACTAGGTGCCATGCGTATGAAAGAGTGCCGTATAAGCAACTTAAAAGGATATATAATATTTACGTTTGTACGGCTGTCAGACTATTAAGGATAAATTAAGCATTTTACGTGCATTAAAATAAATTAAAAGCTTCTAATCCGAGCGGAGTTAAATATACCCGTATTCAAACTGATTAAAAATATATTTATATTGCATACATATTTAAGTGCATAAATACATAGTGCATATATAGTAGTATCCATGTAGCTCCCAAGCTCTCAAGTTCTCATATGGTACTCGTGTTCGGTAGCTAGCAGATAGACATATGCAAATGCTTAGGCAGTGGCTCACAAGCGAGCAATTTTATCCGTGTTAGACACAAAATAAATGCGCTGAGTTCCTTTTGTTGGAAAATGAAAATTTCTTGCATTGCCGTACTTATTCGTTTATAATTTAAACTGAGTTCCCTGTAGTTGCAATGTTGCAATGCTGCGATGTTGCGATGTTGCGATGTTGCTGCTGCCAACTGCAGGACCGGAAGAAACATGCTGCATTGCTGTAGTGTTTCATAATTGCTAAAGAACGTCCTCGGAGACAGTGCAGTGTAGACAATTGTAATTAAAAAGGAAGAAAGTCCTCGTTGCCAGTTCGTTAGTTTTTGTTTTGTACTCGTTTTTTCTCCAGTTCGGTGTTAAAATGCAATTTTAAATAATTTATATTGTCAGCATGTATTTCGGAAACGAAAGTAATTTGAATGCGAATGCATAGCGAAAATAGAAAGGTTATAAATGTGTGTCCTTGCTTTTTGTTATAAAAAATTAAGCTTACATTGTTAAACATAAACTGCTTATATTTTTATACTTTGCACTCCCTTTACGAGTGCAAAACTATGAAGGAGCGATATATATAGGAGTGATTTTGAGGTGCTTATAAAAATTTTACATTAAATAGAGATGGTGAGGGAAACGTTTGTAGTGTGAGTGCTGCAGTATTAACTATTTGATAACCATGAACTCTTTAAGTTAATCGCAACTAAATGACGAACGAAACGATAAAGCCACGAACTAGGAGGAAATAGGCAGTTATCCTTGGGGGTACCCGAAGCGACATTTCTTTTATAATGAAATAAGTGCCCAAGCGAGAATGTACCCCCTAAGGTGATGGTACGGGTGTATGTATGTTCAAGCAGTCTTGTGCAGCAACAATAAAAAAACAATTTCAAAGTGAGGATCTTTTTGTTGTCATATTATTTTGTAACACAACAGTAAAAGGAGCTGTTGTGTCAGCTTTATTTGACCACCACAAACAACACAAATAATTATTAATATTATTTACCAAACATTAGAAATTAGTTTGAAATTAAATTTATTTTTTTTCCTAGTTAACTTACGTTTTACAAACGTACACTCATAGCCATATAGACATACAAACTTAGCAACAATAATGCCGTTGTGAAGCACTTCTATTGCCTAAAATGAAAGTGCAATTTTCTCTACTTCTTGTACTGCGGCGATGCTGTAGTCATGAAGGAAGATTTGAAGGGCTGAAGTTGCCCAGAAAATGTATCATGCGAGGACATACATACATACATACATATATATCTTCGTTATTAATACATTATGATTATTTAATAAGATGAAAAAATCCTGAGAAATTTTTTGCCTCGCAGGCTGCTAATTGCTACTTTGTGAGCAATTGAGGAGACTATATTTCGAAAGGTAGACTCATTTTAATATGGTATATAAAGATCTATATGAATTTTTTCATTCTGCTGGTATACACGTGTACATGTGTGCTCTGTAGCACTAAACGTTAAAAGCGAAATTCAATTCGCATATATGCATTAATTTACTTAATTACTTTCGCATGGTTTTCTAAAGCAAGTCTATCTCTATCTAGGATTCAAATAAACATGTTTTGCCATTTAATGCTGCGAACTAATAGGTTCATAACGATATATGATAAATGAAAAAAAGTTTCGAAATAGACATCTAAAAAAATCTATTTAATTATGGCAAATAGCTTCAAATCATAGCAAATTCCATCGGCTGAACGAAATGAAAAAGCGAGCGGCAGGGGCAGGGGTCCCAATCTACACAAAACATTATAAATATTGATTGGTTGCGGTTGTGAACAATTTAGATCAAGGATATCGATATGACACTTGATGTTTACCGCCATTTTGTCAGTTTTAGCATTTATGCCAATTTTATGGTGTTCAACACAAAAATATTTATAACGAACAAAAATAAAGCATGTAAATATATAATAAAGCATAATAAACCATAATATAGCAAAAAAAAAAAAAAAATCAAAAAACAAAAAAGGACAGAAAGGAGAGCTGTGCACAGAAAGTAGAAAGGTATCCGCTTAAAAACAACAAGGACATCATCATTACCCTGTCGAAGCACGATGAAGTACAAAATTAAATTATTTTGCAGCATGTTTAAGAGCATCCCGTGTATTCTGTGTATTCTGTGTATCCTGTGTATCCCGTGTATCCCGTGTGCCCCGTGTCCCGTGTCCCGTGTGTCTCACGGTGTGTGCGGCGCGCAGCCAAATAGCAAAATTTGAATTTTAATAGGGAAACGTGAATTTTTAAATTGTGTCTCGTGCATTCGCTAACGGTTCCGACTGGCGGAGGGGTGTTTGGGTGTTTGGGTGTTAAAATGTGGCAACGAAAATGTGAATAAATGAGTGAGCTCATTCGTAGCAACAACGTTGC